AGTAGTTTTGCTACTAGCCTGAGTGGCCCTAGTTAATTAAATGGCACATTTATATAGGGTTTTTTTTTATTAATAAAAATCTTCATTACTATCACTAGTAATTCTTCATAATAGCTTTCTGATAGTTTTCTGAAAACGTCAAAAATGTAGTCTTCAAAGAAATCTCTTCCAAAAACTTTCCACCGCTTTGAACCTCACTTAATATGCAAGAGCAGGTATTTCAAATTGTGAAGCTTACAAAAATTACCCAATCATGGGAAATTACAATACTCTCCCTTATACTATATGCTGCGTGGAACAGCCCTTTTCAAATTTTTCTTTCTCAGTATTCAGGAAAAAAATGTTCACACTCCTGTACTTCCTCCATTGTGTTTTTTAGGAATAGGAAAATTGCACAAAATAAAATGTCTAATGTTTACTGAGCTACCCACAGCCCATACCAAAGCATTGCTCAATGTGATCGCAAAGGATTTTGGGAAGAGTATGGGAAACTGGAAGTGGATCTATTCACAGTTAACTTAAAGTGGCCACTATGAGGAATTCCCATTTATATTGTGCTTTAGGATGCAACAAGAACACACAATTGTGGGTAGGAACTTGCAAAGATTGTAGATGGCTAGGAACAGAGTGGGGAAACATGTCAGGAAGATATCACCTACCAGGCTCCAGCTAGGAATAAACTAAAACTTTTTGGTGGTCAGGCTCTTCAAGCAGCCAAATGTATTAATATTAATTGCCTGTAATCCCTTGTACATAAGTACTCAGAATGGAAACTGTGAACATACTTAACGTAGAAAAGGGCACAGAGAAAACTTTATTTGTATGCTGTTGCTTTTTCATTGTCTAGTCAGCAGTTTGGTAGAAGGAGAATAAAGCAAAGATCTTTTAACAGTTTTCCTTAGTCAACCCTTAGCCCTCAGTAAGTTAATTTTTAAAAACACACACATATATATATATATATATAACAGTTCTTGCGCAAACTATAGTTGATGGTACCAGGATGCACAGATACCAATATTTGGCCGAGAACTCGTACTAGCCCAAATGCTCCAATACTTATCCCAGATACCAGAACTTCTGTCAGTGCCGCGAGGGAACATGGAGCTGCCTTGCCGGGCTGCGGGTAATGACACCCTACACGGCTTCCTGATTGGCTGGGAAGCCGACTCCATGCTCGCGGAAGTACCGGTAGACTACCGAAAGATTAAATATCGGTACTTGATACTGAAAAATATGGTATCGTGCATCCCTAGTACCAGCCATGCACAACAACGCTCACATCTTCTATCGGTCTCCATCTGGGAACATGGCATATACTAATCATAAACCCGTTCTTATCAACTTCGTCGCACTCCACTCCTAACTGTAAATGATTTATCTAACATACTCACAGTAAGCCCGCATTAGAGGTGGGCGGTGGAAGAAGTAACATATGTCATGTCTGTGGTATGTTGCAAAAAAGAGATTGTACTTAAAAAAAAAAAAGACTAAAGTGGAGTTTTGAGATATACACTATATTGCCAAAAGTATTGCAACACCTGCCTTTACACGTACATGAACTTTAATGTTAACGTTAATGACCGTACAAGGGACAGAAAAAGACTAAACAAGTATGTTTTGTTTGGAAGTGTTGCCAGGAAAAAGCCTTTTCTCTCTAAAAAGAATATGGCAGCACAGCTTAGTTTTGCAAAGTTGCCTTTCAACAAACCACAAGACTGCTGGAACAATGTTCTGTGGAGTTTGGTCATAATGTGCAGCGCCATGTTTGGCAAACACGAAACGCAGCATATCAGCACAAATGCCTTATACTAACAGTCCAGCACAATGGTGGAGGGATGATGATTTGGCCATGTTTTGCAGTCACAGGACCTAGGCACCTTGCAATCATTGAGTTGACCATGAACTCCTCTGTATATCAAAGAAATCTAGAGTCAAATGTGAAACCATCTGTCAGACAGCTAAAGCTTGGCCCGAAATTGGCTCATGCAACATGATAATTATTCTAAGCACACCAGCAAATCTACAACAAAATGGCTGAAAATGAAAAGTATCAAGGTGAGGCAGTGGCCCAGTCAAAAGTCCAGACCTCAACCCGATTGAAATGCTGTGGCAGGACCTTTAAGAGAGCTGTGCATAAACAAATGCCCACAAACCTCAATGAACTGAAGCAACGTTGTAAAAAAGAGTGGGCCAAAATTACTCCACAACAATGTGAGAGACTGATAGTCATACAGAAAATGATTATTTCAACCTACTGCTGCTAAAGGTAGTTCTACAAGCTACTGAATCATCAGGTATACTTAGTTTTTCACATAAACTTTCTTCATTTTGGCTTTATTTGTAAAATAAATAGACATGGTGTAATATGCCATGTGTTGTTCATCTGAGGTTGTATTTACCTAATTTAAGACCTGCTAAGGACCAAATGTTTTTTGATGCATAAAATGATAGAATTCAAAGAAGGTGTACTTTCTTTTTCACACAACTATATGAAGGCAGCCTGCAGATATATATTCTCATTTAATCCTTGTGACAATGGTTTAACCGTACAAGAAGGGAGTGGGGAAGGCGAGAACCCCATTTGTCAGTTTGTAACGTAGAATTTTGTTTTGCCATTTATGAATTGAAATAATATTTGGGATAGCGCGGAGGGGTATGGTATTGAAATATAGCTCAATTTTCTCTTTTTTTATAGGTATGCTGAAGATGTGTTTTGCAACATATTTAAAAAGAGTATAAATAGTTTTTGGGGGCTTACCACATCTATTGCATGTTTGTGTCACAAGACTAATTTACATAAAGGGGATGCTAAAAAAAAATGACATTTGAGAGTGCATCTAAATATATTGGCCATATTAGGTTATTACTTTATTCTGGCAAGCAATACAACAAAGTGCATTGTTTTTCTTCTCTCAGTTGTAAAATAGACATTTCAATTTGCTGCCAAATGAAAACCTAATTTGTCCTGTAAAAACAATTTACGTACAATAGAGATTCCAGTCCTCAAGTGCATAACATTGTCTGTGAATTTATCATTGCTATTTTTTTTTTTTTTTTACATTTCATCCATTTCTTGTATATTTTTGTTGTTAAATACGATGGTAAAATCAGCCTGTTGTTTTTGCATGAAAAGATTTAGAGCATTTTTGTAATGTTTCCTGAAGTTCAACGTTGCTTTGTTCCATACTTTTCTTTTGTTCCTGTCTTTTTATTCAGTGTAAAATATGAAGAAACATTGATTAGAACAAAACCATTGATGTTTCCTGATCTGTCTTTTGTGCAGGTTAACATTTTTTCTGCAGATCGGAACACATGATTTATGCAACTGTTCTGCTTTTACACCTCCAGGTTCTGCCAAAAAGCATTGGGAAATTGAAGAAGCTGAACAATTTGAATGTTGATAGGAATAAATTAATGTCTTTGGTAAAAGAGGTATGTACAGAGATAATGCAGCATTTTTGACAAAAATATATTATATTGCGGCAGTAGAATCAGTAACAGTGCTGGAAAGACGGTGGCTGACTCCAACAGTGTGCATTCCAGAGCAAGACTGCCACTATAGCACTCCAGTGTATAACTTGACAATCCAGACTGGTCAGTTTACCCTTTCATTGCCAAAGCCATTTTTGCCCACTTGTTAAAATGCACATTTTAGGCCGCAAATGTATTCCATAAGAAATTCAGTCTGACACCCGGGTCAGTTTGTAAAGCAAGCTGTAAACAGCTGACCCCCTCCCTGTAAATCTGTGCAACACGATCAATAAACACCACCTCTCCCTTTACACACATTACACTGTCCAGGGTGGTTGCCACTATGAATACTATTGAATGGGGGGGAAAGAGAGCTGAATATACACAGATTACTTGCAGAGCACAGAGGCTGCCATTTCCATAGGTGTGCAGAGGAAAGCTAACAAAAGTAAGTTTTTGTGTTCATATACAGAAACTTCATATGCCTGCTTTATTTACACTTGGTGTACATTGCTGGCATGTTTTGTTTTTTTAAAAATACCTCTGCAAAGGTAGAAATGGGCTTAAAACTATATTTTTTCGAAAAGCAGAAACCATGGCGAATAACATTGTGGCAGTCGCAATTTTTTATGTCACACAATATTAACGTGACAATTTATCAAATTTTAATTTTCTGTAAAAACTATGTTCAAACTATTTTTAGTGCACTCAAACAATACAAAACTAAACGCTTTGGTAACATATAAAATGAGGTTGCATTGAGTACCCCAACCCCTCAAATACACATGTTCATACTTGCCTCCTCCAACAGCTGCAGCTTCCTGCTCTGTCTGCAGACTTGCTGTTAAAAATGGGATGTACTAACATCTCATAGACTTGAATGGGAAATACCCATATGGCAGTAGCAACTACCTGTTCGACATTAACACATGGGCAGGTAGTGGTGGGGTAACATAGTTGATTGTAATGAGGGGCAAAAAGGAATTTTTCATTAAACATGAACCTGTTCTTTACATTTTGTAAAATATTAAGAGATTTAGGTAAACCTTTTCTGCTAGATTTGTGCACTGTCTAATGTAATACATTTGTGTTCCTGTTTACTTTCTTCATGTTGTATTTGTTACAGATTGGCGGTTGTTGCAGTCTTAATGTATTCTGTATGCGTGAAAACCGACTGACACGTATTCCTCCAGAAATTGCACAAGCTACTGAACTCCATGTTTTAGATGTTGCTGGGAACAGGTAATATTATGCTTCCTAGTTTTCTCAGTGTACTTTTATGAGTAATTTTGCAAATCCCAAATAATCCAAAGTGAATGGCTCAGGTTAGTCATGTACATACTTTAACTATGGCAATGCTTTCATTCTGATTTATAGAGCTCTGTATTTTCAAGTGTTCAAACAAAGAATTTAGGCCTTGTTCACACCAAATGCAGAGCAGATCCAGTCAGGTTTCTGCACACGCAGTGCAGTGGGTTGTGCCGTTTTTGATGCGTTCTTGCCGCGTTTTTGATGCGTTCCGGGCCGCTTTTGCTAAAAAAATAAATACAATTTTTACGTTTAACATGGGCTTTCAGGCACTTGCATGCGTTTTTGATGCGTTTTTGTGTTTTGCATTAGTTTTTGATGCGTTCCAGAGCAGGTAAAATAAGGCTTGCCGCAGTTTTCTCACCTGCTCTGGATCTGCACGCTGCGGTGTGAACTGGAGCTCATAATACCATAGGAATACATTGGACGCAGTTTTGATCCGGTCTGCACCTGCTCTGCTCTGGATCTGCTCCGCGCTTGGTGTGAACAAGCCCTTAGACGCTCGATTGCCCTTTTATTTTATGCAAGCGTTACTCTAAATTTAATTTTACTTTTAACTCCTGTGGTTGCAACCTATTTTATTGGCAGCAGTAAAGGAACTGGTAAATCAATGCAATAAAAACTGATGGCTTTCATTAAAAATAAAATGCTTATATGCTTTTGTGTATATAAAATCTTCTTTTTTTTTTTTTGTAGATTATCCCATTTACCTTTGACATTGACCTCACTGAAATTGAAGGCTTTATGGTTATCAGATAACCAGTCCCAGCCTCTGCTAACTTTCCAGACGGATTTTGATCCCGACACTGGTGAAAAAGTTTTGACATGTGTACTACTACCACAGATGCCTTCTGAATCTAATGGCCAAGGTAAGTATCATTACTGCTGTAGTTTTCTGCAGGATCTGGTGCAATGTACAGGCATGTCTTGACAGTAGGAAGATGAAAGAATCCAGTGGATGCTGTGGTTACTCTAGTACCACTATTACATAAAAGGATAGATAGAGTGAACACAATAGGTTTTTAGCTGCTATGAAAAGGCCAGTGCCCCTTAGTTTGATTAGTGGGTATATGCACATTTCTTTCCTCAGTTGTACACTTTCTACTAAACAAAATAGTCCTCCCTGTGCTGCCTGTCACAGCCAAATTCATGCTCTAAGGAGGAATCATGTGAACTAAAGTGGTTTATTTTCACCACCATCTGCTACTCTTGTGTATTAAGAGTATATCTTTCTGATTCATTGAGGGATTCAGTAAATTAGAGACTGTTGGGTTATACTACCACCTACTGGAGGATTTAGACATTGGCAAACATTAAAAAAAAAAGTGAGCAGCTCAACCCCTCCTCTCAGCATACCTCGGTTTTTTGATTGTCTCCTTGGAGGATGGATGCCCTTTTTCTGGTCTGCTGAGGAAAGTCTAAACTTTTTGCTAGCATTTTTTTCCTTTTCAATAAACTTTATTTTTTCTTAAATCAAGATTTCTCTACAACCTGCCAAGCTGGTCTCTATACACAGCTATCCAGATGGGCAGATTCTCAGCTCTAGAGTTGGGGGCCGTATAATATAAATGCTGTTGCACTCATATCATTCATAAAGATGACTAATCTGAATGTTTATTCTACAGACCTATTACCTCGGTGTGGGGCTCTTGAAAGTTTGGTGAATGATATGTCCGATGAAACCTGGAATGAACGAGCAATGAATAGAATAAGTGCCATACGATTTTTAGATGATGAGAAAGAAGATGAGGAAGATGAAACGGTAACTTTTTTGAATGTAATCCTATTAACATTAGGCTTCGTTATTTTTGAAAAAGTAAAAAAGGGAATATACTCGTGTTTTCAAAAAAACATTTAATATATAGTCAGGAAGCATGGCCTCACTGGACAGCATTATATTTCTCTGTATTTTCTAAAAAGCACAATTTTTTCTTAGTATACAGCTTAAAAAAAAGGAAGCAAATCTGTGTTAAAAAAAATTGATTTGCCCTGCGAAGATTGATTGAGGACCAGTCTCCCCTTTGTTATATATTTGGTGAAAAGTTTTTTTTCACAGTTTTGGAAAGAGTGGATAATGATTACATGTCACTGTCTTTCTGTTTTGGAGATTTTACCCTTTACTTTCCTTCTTGAAACACAACGGGAAGTAAAAAGAAATTTCAAAGTTAGGGAATAGCCCTCACAGTTGCCACTTGGACATATATCCCCATTAGGAGATTTCTTCTTTATTCCAGTGGCAATTCGAAAATGACATACTTTCCTTCACTTTTTGTCTGGAGACGAAAACAAAATTGAATGGAAACCTTGACAGTAATAAGTCAACCATTTCTAACTGTTCCTTACACATCCTACAGTAATACTAGAAAAGGTTTGGCTGGAATTCCACTATACATGTAGCCAAAAGGTGTGCCCCCACCCATCTAATGTGATGTGAAGTGTGAATTATAGTTGGCAATATTACTTGCCATAAATCTGGTTCATCGTATTACAATAATAGGAACTGACCAAACCACTACTACAGGCCAGATGAAGCATAGAGCAGGTTTCTGTGACAGTCTGCTAGTGGTAAGTTTCATTATATGATCCTAGGTAAGATTCTGCAGTTAAAAGACCTGAGTTTGGTAACTGTCTCTACTGTAACGTGTATGATAGTCAGCTGTTTGCATATCTTAGTATGTGGCATTTCTTCTTGAGGAAATACATTGTAGTTTCATTCATCTATTTCAATTTTAAGTGTATAATAATTTTAAATGTTTTTTTTTTTTTAAATACTCAGAAAACACTGTTAAGACGGGCTACGCCGCATCCTGGAGAGTTGAAGTCAATGAAAAAGACTGTGGAGAACTTGCGTACCACTTTGAATGCTGCTAAAGGACTGGACTCTAACAAAAATGAGGTCAATAACTCCATTGACAGATTGACCACGTCTGTGTAGAGCTCCACCTTCATCTTACCTCCTGTGTCTTCCCTGACTGTTGAAATGTCTCCCTGCTTCCAGGACCATTTCTAGCCTCTTGTTTTTACCAGAACATTATTCATAATCACTTTTTAATACTTCTGTTGAGATGCTGCAGCCTGCACAGGACGTGCCTTATTTCCCCTAGATGCTCGCATCTACAACCTCCTAAATTAAAGCTGTAATTTTATATTTTGCCAATCTTGTTTTTAATGGCAGTCAATAACACTACTTTATCATTTTATTTTGGTTTTAATTTCTACTTTTCGATGTGCAAATATATTTTCATTTTTTAACTTTGCATATATTTTAGAACTTTTTTGGACATAGCGGGATAGTTTTATTTGCAAATTCATTTTTTTTTATTTTATTGTTTGGCAGCTTAAGAGATGTACATTTTTTACACAATTACATTGTATAGTAGGTTGCAAAAAGATTTTGACTGAAAATAGGAAATCAAAAGCGGTACATGTATTCATTGTAAAGTATAAAAGAAGTGTTTTTTTTAAATCTAATGTATCATTATAATGTGCCACTAAAGTTGTGCCTTAGAGTGGTGGTGGGTTTTCTACACCAAATGTTTTGCCCTTTTCTATTCTCTTTTGATACCTACAACACTGAGGGCTTTATTTTTTAAGTTAGTACGCAGAACAGTCACAGGCATTAGCCTACTGAAATCATCTTGACTTTACCTGATTAAAGACTTGTATACATGCGTGCCAACGATGGTGTTCAGCATATGTTCTTGTAGCAGGCCATGCTCTTTTTATTGCAAGAAAATTTAATAATCTGTATATGCGGGGACCATGCTAAACTCTGGTTTCATTCACCAGTTTGCTAAAATGAACATGAATTTCAATGTCTGCTTATGGCAGCAATGTATTCCCCATTTACTTCAATATTTATCTTGGATGTTCCCCCCCTAAACAGGTCAAAGTCTGATGCTGCTTTATAATTATATAACTTTAAGTGCTTCTGCAGCCAGTACATTGTTCATTCACTTACAGCAAAGGATCTGCACAGCAGTTTAACACATGTCTAGCTGGTAGGCACCCTGCAATCTTGAGTACATGAGCATGAATCTAACCAGTGCTTGTGGTCTGTGTATGCTCAACGCATCTGCTTACTTCCAATAATGCAATACAGGGTTCTTGCATTATTGCGTGGCCCTGTTATGGACCAAAGAAAACAGGCTACATCTGAGGTCCATAAACATGTCATCCCCGTTAAGGTAATTGAGAGGGTCTGTTCTTAACGGAGATTATCACATAATGTTTGAATTACTTTGAAATTATAGTTATTTCTTATCACTACACTTTCTTTATATATCTTAAACCGCCCATGTCTAAAATTGCCATGAACATGTCTAGTTCACACCATGCATTGCTTTAACTCATACTGTATTAAAGCAGTTGATTCATTTTGAATCTAGCAGCACTGAAAAATGGACATGCGCTATTTTTGTTTTTGTTTTGAAACTCAGTGCACCACCAATCACGCATGGTTCACATTTTGTGCATTGCACTTCATTACGATACATGTGAATTATGCAGTGCTGCTAAGATGCATTGGGGTACCATTCAAAATGAATGGCTTTGCAGCGAACCACACTGTGTGTACTGTGCTGCCCTGTGAATGGGCCCTCACTGTTGAATCTGTTCAATTAGCTCATATTGCTTAGCAGTTCCATTGTTTGCAAACTGGGCTTTATCATGGACTTCAGTCTTGTATCTTAGTAAATACACTACCTTAAGGGGTCTGAAAAAAATTTCTACAATAATTATCAATAGAGGGATCTGTACCAATACACATCCAAAATAACTGTATGTTAATTAAGAAAGAAAACTAAATAATTTATTGTTATAGTTTAAAATAATTACGAAGACTCCTCTTTGGTTGCACGTAGAATCAGTCTTCAAGCAGTAATTATTATACGTCTAATTCTGCCATATCAACAAGTTGCCAAAACTTTTATTTTACTCTTGGATATCTTTTCGTATTCATAAGATCCTCATGATACCATGTGTAATGTGAAAAGGCAAGTCTACAACAGATTGTTTCATTACTGGGACTGCCTTCTGCCATTACTCATAGACTCCAACATCACAATCTGTATACTCTATCATCCCACCCCTGTGTTGCTCATCTTTTGACATCCTTGCTCCATTGAAAAATATACTTGTTGACACATTTTAGCTATGGTTGAATTTATCCTTCATGTGTTGCCTTTTACTCTTGAAGAATAAGAGCCTTTTTAGTTGCAGATAAGTAAAGTACTAACGTATACGTTGTAAGCATAATTTGTATTTTCTGTTTATAACTGGAGTTTTTAGATTGGTGTGTTACACCTTGCGTTCACTGTAGGACACATTGTTCTAAATAATCACCGGTTGGCTATATCACCACCTGAAGGTGCCACTAGAAAACAAAAAGACTGCCCAGGGGGTGGCACTTGCTGGTGGCCAAAAAGAAAACCACTCTACACCTGTGAA